GGCTTCCAACTTCTTGGGGGTTTACTAGAGGTGTTAGGGTTTAGGGCTTTGGGGCTTTAGGGCGTTTGGGTTTTAAGGTTTAGGGCCTAAGGATTAAGCGTTTAGGGTTTTGGGTTTCATGCTGGGTTTATAGAGGCTTATCAGGGCTTCTACGGTCCCAATACGGATTAGGGTTTAGGGTCTGCAGGGCGCCATATCCCGAATCATGTGGAGCTCAAAGATTCTGCAGTAAAGTTCCTGCATACCCTGAGCTCCGTTGAAATCGAGGCTGAATCCTAAACCCCACACCCTAAACCCTAAACCCTAAACCCCACACCCTAAACCCTAAACCCTAAACCCTAAACCCCACACCCTAAACCCTAAACCCCAAACCCTAAACCCGGGTTTAAGGTGCCAAGGCCTCCTGTACCCCTCAACTTTGAAGCCTCAGGGCTTATAAAGCCTTCAAGGACCCTTACAGCCCTGCTTGCAGCTTACCATCCTAAACCCTTACCCCCTGAACGGGATAGGGTTCAGGGTCTATGGCTTTGGGCTTAGGGTTTAGGGTTTAGCGTTTAGGGCCTCAGGTTTTTATGGTTTAGGGTCTAGGGTTTTGGGCTTAGGGTTTAGGGTTTACTAGACCCCTAGACCCCTAAACCTTTCGCTCGCCTCCATCTGCGGAAGGCTGGGCACGTACTGGTCCGTGGTGAAGTAGATGAATGCATAGACAACACCCATGAACACCACCCAACTCCGTGGACAGCCGTCCTCTTCAAGATAATTTCGGGTTTTAGCAGTGGCTTAGAGGGCTTTCGATGGGTTCTACAAGGGTTTATGGGCTGGTCAGGTTCTGCCTCTGTCGGTTTCGCCGTTTCGGCTCATGTTGAGGGGTTTCAAGTTGAGCTTGTAACGTAGGGGCCTTAAGAATTAGAATAGGGTCTTGGGGTATATTATATTATAAGTATACAAAGGAAACCGCAAAACCCTATTCCAATAATTAAGGCCCCTACATTTTGCCCCACAGCCTAGAGTCTGGACCTAGAGCCTAAATAAACTGTGTCAGTATGGAGGTACATATCCCAAAACCGAACCTCTGGACAAGGTCCCAAAAATTCTGGCATCTGGCATGCCGCGAGCCGAGCCTTCTTTGATCAGCGTCTTACGGGTCTCCCTGAAATGTCACTCCACTAATGCAAAAAAAAGATGACGTCACCATACATCCAAAGAAATCAGGCTCAGGGGTTTGAAGCGTTGTGGTTTGGTCAAAAACCGATTCTGCCCCAATTGAGATGTGGAAAAGCCATAAAGCCAAAACCCTGAACCGCAAACCGAGTCCTCCACGCTGGGATGCCGGGGCATTTTGTTTGGCAGACCAACCAACGCCAGGCGCACGGACACGGCGATAAAGCCGCAGTAGACTGCGGCCACCAGTCCCTGTCAATTTTCTGCGTTAGGGCTTTGGGCTTTCGGGCTTGTAGTGCTCTGAGGTTTTGGGCTTAGGAATCGCTGTGCTCCCCTGGATTGAGGGTTAAACTTCGGGGCTTAGGGTCGGTGCTGTGGGACATCAGGGCTGTCCTCAGATGAAAGTTCGTTGTGAACGTTGAAAGCAGACGAAGGAACCTCCATGTACTAAAACCTATATCAGGCAACGCAAATACCCTAAACACTACACCATAAATCCCTGAATTCCTGAACTCTGAACCTTAACCCTTGCAGAACCTTTATCGAATCCCTATTGGGGTGTTTAGGTTTGCGGTACCAAACTGTGTGCAGCGACTACACAAAACTCAGGGGTTGGGTTTGGGAGTCATAACGAGCTTCAGAACTGAAATCGTAAACGACAGAGGAAAGACTCAGCAGCCCCATATCCTCAACATAGGCAAGCGATAGAAACCTCAAACCCGGCCTGCGCCCTGGACCTCACAGCATCAAACCTCAGAGCCTTCACGAGCCCTTACGGGCCCCCTGCCTTTGATTTCTTTACAAAAAGCTCATAGCAAAATCGTAAACCCGAAACTCCTCGGCTCCAAACCTGTAACAAAAAATAAATGCCGATAAAGCCCACTGGAACATAGCTAGAATCCCAAATCCTAAACCGTAACCCTTAACCCTTAAACCCTAGAACCCAAGCCCTAAACCCCTAACCCTAAACCCTAAAACCCTAAACCCCTAAACCCTAAACCCTAAACCCTAACCCCTAACCCCTAAACCAAAACCCCCCCATCACAGCCTTGCTGAGCTTCGCCAAAACGTCTCCTTCGTAGAGACATCGAGCGACATCCCAAGACCAGGGCTCGGCCCCTGAGGCGCGTCCCTAAAACCCTGCAAGCCCTGAAGCCCAAAAAACCCTGAATACCCTAAACCCTAAAACCCTAAAGCCCTAACCCTAAAGCCCTAAAGCCCTAAAGCCCTAAAGCCCTAAAGCCCTAAAGCCCTAAAGCCCTAAAGCCCTAAAGCCCTAAAGCCCTAAAGCCCTAAAGCCCTACAGCCCTAAAGCCCTAAACCCTAGACCCTAAAGGCCTAAACCGTTTATTTCGCATCTTCAGGGTCAGGCTTTATTTACGGAGTGCGCTCGGAAGGATCGCTCCGTTTAGCTTTCTGGAAATCGCAGCCTTCTGTGCATTTGCATGTACCATTACAAGTCGGCCCTGTCTTTGGGGATTCGCAACCATAAAGCCTCGCAACCTATAGAGACCCTGAAACAAGGGACCGAGTACCTAAAAAGCCTACACCGGCTATAGGTACCCTATGCACTTAACCCCTAAACCCTAAGCCGTAAACCCCTAAACCCTAAACCTCTCAACCCTGAGACCTAAGCCCTAAACCCACTCACCACCCGACTTACTAACTTACTGACGGGGAGGATCGCACGGTCTTACAAAGCTCAGCGGCTCTTGGAAGAAGGCTTCCATAAGGCGTTTTAAGATTTGTAAGGAGACTTGGAAAAGACGTAGAAAGCCTGAACCAAGAGTTGGTTGTACAAGGCTTATAAGGTTCTAAAGAGCTAGGTAGGGGCTAAAGGGTGCGCTTCTTGAGCCAGTAAGGCTAGAAGCACCTTGGTGAGGGTCGACTGCACGCAGTTGCAGCTTTGGTTGCCTGGCTAACACTACTCAGTAAAGGCCCTGATCCTTCAGGTAGACCATTTATGCTGGCAAACAAGCAGAGGCCTGAATAGTTAGAATAAGGTTTTGGGGGCCTGTATACTATAATTATAGTAAGGCGCCCCCAAAATAATATAGGTAATTATTTTAGGCCCCTACATTAAACCTTAAACCATCTGCCTGGCCAAGATCCGGCAGAGGACCCCGCTGGGTGTGCGGGGGTGATGCCGGCATCGAAGTCGACACGGCTGCTGCCCAAGCCGCCCTGGCTGTCCTGAGGGTCGGAATTCGGACGATTCCCTGTAAATGATTTTTGAGAGCCTTTATACAGGGTTGAGAGAAGGGAATCGAAACCAACACGAAACGTTCCCAATCCTTTGCCGAATTTCAAGCCACCTAACGCCCTACCCAACCGCCGAAGCCTTCGGGAAGTTATGTAAACATAGGCCGTGTCGACTCGCCCACAAGAACTGAGGGTTTTCCTGGTTGGCTTAAGGCTTGCACTATTTCCACGCCATCAAGCCGAAAGCGCACCTCCATGAAACAGAAGGCTTAGCTATAATCATTTAAGGGTTTAGAGTTTATATCAGGCTCAACAAACTGAGAGAGAAAGGTTTGCTAAGGACTCAACCAGGTCTCCGAAAAAATGCTGCCCCTGACCAGGCGCGCAAACGCCTCCGACATCGCAGAAGCGAAGACGAACCATGGCAGGCGGTGCATGGCGGCTTATTCGGCTACGGAACCCAGGTGGGGAGGCTGAAATCACACGAGGCATCATGGGATTCCTACGGTCTCTGGACAGGATATTTTTTATAGGGTCTCTGGACAGGATCTCGTAAGTGTTCTATAACACTCTTGGTTTGCATTTGGGGGGTTTCCCTGAACCATTGTTATCCCGAGCCCGTACCCTTAACCCTAAACCCTAAACCCTAGTGACCCAGAATCCGCATCCCAGCCGCAGCTACGCCTGACCCGAACATGAGCCATCCTGGCCGCGAAGCGGAGGGTGCCCAAAACCCGAATACTTTCGGGCTCTGTGGGTTCAGGGGTTAGGGGCTGCTCAGAGAGCCCAATACCCCGTAATTAAGGAATATTCTCCTTAAAAGATAAAGGGGTCAATATTCGGAATTGAGGTATAGTCCTTAGTTAAGGAATATACCCCTTAAGTTGTAAGGGGATGAACATTATGATATTTCAAGCATCTTCCTTTAAATCATAATATCAGTCCCTCTAATCTGAGGTGTATATTCCTTAGCTTAGAGCTATTCAGGCTCTGTGAGTTGAGGCTTGAGGATTGAGGGCGCGCAGGGGGCCCCACGCCGGGAATCGCAGAAGGGCTCAAGGAGGGCCCCAAAACGCGCGCCCTCTTCCACCCCGAGGCCTGAAGAAGCCTAAGTCAGGGCAAGTAGGGTTTAGGGTTTAGGGTTTGGGGTTTGTTTAAAGGGTTCAGGGTTCAGGTTTAGTACCAATGTTGCTGTTTTACGTGTTTCGTTAATTGCTTTCTACTGTAACATACCCCAAAACCCTGGTCTACCATTCAGGCCCCTGCAGGACGCCGGGAGAGGGCGCCTTGACTTAGACTCTCAAGCCTGAGCGCTCACTCCCAAACCGGACTTTTATGGTTAGAAACCCTTTTTTTAGGGTACTTTAAGGGCTCCTTCGAGGAATCCTTTAAGGGATCCTTCAAGGGCTCCTTGAAGGGATCCTTTGAGAAATCCTTTTGGGGGATCTAGTTTTGGGGTCCTTTCAGGTGGGCACAGTTTGCAGCAGCCAAGTAGCAACAGCAGACGTCCCCTGATCCTTGAGGTACAGCTTGCAGACCAGGAACCCTAAATTGCCAAACTGTCCAAAAGAGCCCGAAACCCATGATTTCCGACATGCCTAAAACTTACTCTAAAGCCCAAGGCTTGGGGGATCCAAGCCAAAAAGGTGCGAACCCCCAAAATCCAAATCCTAAGCCCCTCAAGCGGCCTCCACCTCATCCAGAGCCTTTCTCAGATCCTCACCTCCATCAGACGCGGGAAGTCAGCCCAGCGGTTAGGGGCGTGCAGGCTTCACAAGATAGCTCGCAGGCGATTTCTGAAGCCGCCAAGGCTTGACCCTAAGAGTAGCATTAGATGCATTCCCGATCGGGGCAAGGGCTGTGAGTCTGGGTAGCACCTGTGGACTGATACCTTGCTATGTGCGACGTACGACGTCGTACTGATGAGCTACTGGTTGCTGGTTGCTAGTTCCGAAGCTCCCAGTTGCTAGTTGCTACAGGTACTGGTGACTGCATACTACTTACTCCTTACTGCTTATTAGGTACTACTTACTTATTGACACTTGGTGCTTGCTACTTACTGCTTATTTTTGCTACTTACTTGCTGCTTTCCATTGCTTTCCACTTGGTACTTACTGCTTGGCCCGTAGTGCTACTTAAATACTTACTACTTCCTGCTTGCTCCTTACAACTCACGAGTTACTACTCCTGCTTGCTACTTACAACCTACTACGACGACGACGAACTCAACAAGTCTAATCTCCGATCCCAAACCGTCGACTGATACCTCAAAAGAACCCGCTAAACCCTGGATACCTTAAAACCGTAACCTGACCCTAGACTCCAAAACCCTGGAGACCTAAAGGCCCTGCCCCCAAGTCCAAAACACCTAACAACGCTGGAGTCTCCAGATAAACTCTAAACACAGAAGATCTTGCAACCAAGCCCCATTGAACAAGCTGCCCTAGACATAAAGAAACCCTGAGCCCCAAACCTAAACGCAAACGCAAACCCGAAACCCTGAATCCTAATCAAGCCCTAAGCTCTAAACCCTAAACCCTAAACCCTAAAACCCTAAAACCCTAAAACCCTAAAACCCTAAAACCCTTAAAACCCTTAAAACCCCTAAAACCCGTAAAACCCTTAAAACCCTAAACCCTAAAACCCTATTTAAACCCCTAAAACCCTTAAAACCCTGAAACCCCTAAACCCTTAAAACCCTTAAAACTCTTAAAACCCTAAAAACCCTAAAACCACTAAAACCCCTAAAACCCTTAAAACCCTAAAGCCCCCAAACCCCTAAAACCCCTAAAACCCCAACCCCTAAAACCCCTAAAACCCCTAAAACCCCTAAAACCCCTAAAACCCTAAACCCCCTAAAACCCCTAAAACCCCTAAAAACCCCTAAAACCCCTAAAAACCCCTAAA